AGACCTCCACAGGCTGCTTCACCCGCCTCGGTCCTGATGTGCCCTCCCTCTGGCTTCACATTCCAGGCACATGCTGTGATGTTTCATGCCCTGGTGTCTTTGCCCTGCTTGGTGGTCACATCATTCCCTCACTCATTTGGTAGATTCCTGCCTGCTTTCCAGGCTCCGCTCAGATGTCGTCTCCTCCAGATCATCTTCCCTGACAGCTTGGCTGGACCAAATGTCTCCTCCCTGTGCTTCCCGAGAGTCCACACACACCCCTATCACACATACTAGCTCTGCCACTACTGCAGCTGTGTGACGCATGCCTCCAGTTCTTCATCTGAAAATGGAATCATAGCTCTATCTCATTGGATCATTTTGGGAATTTGTAAATCTAGCTTCTAGTCACCCCTCAGGCTTCACTGACCCCAGATGAGGTTTTAGTAAGCCTAACCATCAGTGTAGAATGCAGATTCACTGTCTGTCTTTCTCTTTAAACATGAGCTGTACTCCAAGAACACAAAGTCAGTATCTATCTTGCTCACCACCATACGCCTGGCACAGCAATTGCATATTCAACATCTGTGTGTAAATGAATGAATGGTTTAAGAAGTTTTTATTGAACTAACATTAGCGGATAAAGACCTATCAGTTCAAATAAAATGTTTATTGAATGCCAGGTTGCCAGATTCCTGTTAATATGTAGGTAGCGCAGGGGAATACAGATAAGACAAAGCACGCTGACAGCAAAGCATGGCCAAAACAGCATCTTGAGTTGGGAGTTGCATTCAACTCAGTAGCACTTGAATGGAGTGAAATGAGGAGAAAAGGAATCTTCCAGAGAAAAACAGTACTCCCTCTCCTGACCCTCATCACCATCCCACTGATGCAAGCAGTGCTGTAATTCACTAAGAAGGCTGTTGTGTTTCCTTTTCTGTCCATGTCAGGAATCTGGAACAAAGAAGGAGCCTGCTAACATTGAACGTGTATTTGCAAAATTGACTCAGGCATTAGTTAAGAAGTCATTAGCTTACCACTTTGGAGATTCTAGTCTGTCTCAGTGGGAAAAGAGCCCCATGGAGCTATCAGGAAGGGTATTCACTCTCTCATCAACAAAGAATTTAGCATTTTCTAACTTCTTTAAGCTTGCGGCTGTTTTTTTTTGTTGTTGTTGTTTTTTCACACCGAGGCTGGCTGTCTCCATTCTTTATGACTCTGGGCATGATTTAACACATACACTTAAAAAATGGAAGAACAGCTTCTTAAATTTGCAGTAAATGTATTGTTCAATAGATTTGATTTACTAGTTATGAGCCATGGAAGAGCCACCATGGCGATTTATTGTCATGTTGTCTCAGGCATTGGAGTCACTGCCTCTATCTGCTCCGATCCCATAAAAGTAATCCAATGAAGTGAAGAACCACAGCACTTCTCGGCACCAGTTTGGATTGTGACTGCCACACCCTATTTTGTATATCAGGCCCCCCTTTCAGATGATGGGATGATGGCAAGTAGGAGGGGGAGTGGGGCATGGCCCGTGGATTTAGTAGCACTTGTTTCACAGTGGCTGGCTGGGGTCAAGGAGCATAGGTTTCTGGGCATTACAGCTTGTGAGAGATTTACAGGGCTCCACTTGCCTCCGGTGACTCTGCAGAGGAATTAAGTCGATGGGAAATGTGTGTGCGTGTGTGTGTATGCGCGCGCGTGCGCCTGTGTATGTGTTGAAAGGAGGGAGGGACTGAGACTCATGATTTAGATGGATTGGGAAGGGTCAGCCTCTTGAGAAAAACCTCCACGAAATAGTCTCTGCTTTTGATACCTGAACTGAAAACATCTGCTGTTCCCTAAACATGGCTGGGAAGTGTGGTACGTTCTATAGTGGGAAAGGGGGTGGGAGTGGGGAAGAAGTATTTCCAAGCTAAGCCCTACATGTAGGAGTTAGCTAAACAGACATGGGGAAGGATAGAGTCCCTGCAGAAGGAACAGCCTGAGCAAACACTCAGGGGTAAAAGCAAACCTGTGAATTTAGAGAACTGCAGCACTTTCAACGTGGCAGGAACACTAGGTTCAAGGGGCCCAGGAGTAGAAAGTGGAAAAGCAGAAGTAATCAATGATTCAGTAACAACAGGAGACATGTTGAGATATGTTTACTCAATTCTGAGGGCAGTGAGAATTATAGAAGGATTTCAACTAATGGGCAACGTTGTTGGATATGTGTTTTTGAAAAATCACTCTGGCTGCTGTGTGAAATATCCCTAATCCAGGCTAGGAAGTGCAGCCCTGTCAGATGCCAGTCTCTTGGCATCTAATGCTCAGCATCTACACAGTTGCTGGGGAGGGAATGATGTGCGGACCCTGCTCTCAGGACTGTCTGGAGAACAGGGTCAGACAGAGCTCCTTCTGTTTGAGGAAGTCATATCCAAATTATGTTACCAGTGAGTACAGGAGGGCCATAGGATGATTGCCTGAGAGTTAACTAGGAAAGGCAAGAAAAAAGATCCAAGGTTCAGGTCAGGGGAGAGGCCTTTATAGCTATGACAATCTGATTGCTGGCTATGCTACCCTGCGCCCTCTCGTAAGCAGCATCCCTAGCTTCTTCCAGCTTTTCTGCGGGGGTCTGAGGAAGGGTGCATTGTGAATGAAGGTCTATCTAAGACAGCATTATCCAACAGAACTTTCTGTGATGACAAAAATGTTCTCTGTCTGCACATTTCCAACGTGGTAGCCATTAGCTACATGAGACTACTGCATACTTGAAACGTGAGCCTGCAATTAAGAAACTGAATTTTTAACTTTATTTTAATTAATTTAAACTTTAATTTAAACAGCCCCATGTGGCTAGTGGCTATCATATTAGCACAAATCTAAGATGCGAGATCTCCTTGAAGACAGTCCTATCACATGCTGAGCATGTAGGTGGTTCTTATAAGCAATTTTTATTTGTTATGCCTGGAGGCAGTGTGGTTTAGGGGAAGACTTTGGACACTGGCATAGTCAGATTGAATTTCAATCCCATCTGTGCCACTGTATTGGTCAGGCTAGGCTTTACTACTTTAACATGCGTCACCCACATTTCAGCAGTGTCACATAATAAAAATGTATTTATTTATTTATTTTGCTTATTTCACAGTTCAAAGAAGGTTGGGAGGGATCTCTACTTCACATAGTCACCCAGGGACCCAAGTTCCTTCGTTCTTGCGGCTCTGTCCTCTTCTAAGCCCTTGAAATTTTTTCCATTCAGCGAGTGGATGGAGAAAGAAAGAACATGCTAAATTGCCCTAGATGTTTTTTATGGGACTGGCCTATATTACTTTGGCTAGAACTTAGACAGACGGCCAAACCTAACTGCAAGAGAACCTGGGAAAGTAATCTAACTGTATCTACAGAAAAGAGGAACTGAATTTGATTAGCATCTAGTCAGTCTCTGCCACAAGTAACTACTACCTTAGGTCTTAGTTTTCTTATCTGTAAAATGGAACCAACATGAGAACTGGTGAAAGCTAAATGAAGTAAAGTATGTGGAAAATGATGAATCCAGCTGGGATTCATGACCATGACTCTTTTCTCTCAGCTTGGATCTCATCACAGCTATTGAGCATCATCTCTGCTGACATAAAAAAAAAAAAAAAAGCTTCACATAGTGGCACCTCTACCAGACATTTTATGGGTTCCTTTTTCTACCCAAGGAAAAGGACAAACTTTGGACAGCATTCAGCAAACCCTTAAGCTTGCCTAACCCAGAGACCACTCCTGGGCATGTATGCGGGTACCGGCCAAATGTTCTCAGCATTGTGAGGGCGGAAAGAATGACTTCTCTTTTAGAGAGATGGATTTTGTTGGATGTAATAAAGGTGCAATCACGGAAATATTTACAGATGAAATTATATTTGGAATTTGTTTCAAAATTATGGTAGGGGAGTGTGTGATTGGCCATGAGTTGGTAACTTTCAAAGCTAAATGACATGTTCATGGGTGTACATTATACAATTCTTTCATCTTTTGTATATGTTTGAAATTTTCCTTGATAACAAATTTAGTTATTTCCCTTTTTTCTTTCTTTACATTGCAGTCTCAGCTCAAAGAACATAATAAAGAATTCTGTAAGTGCCATGAGGACTCATCTTTAATGAGGATTTTGCAGGGAAGTCCAGAAGTCTCTGATGATTTTGCAGTGTGGGGACAATAGCTGGACTGTCTTTCTTTACTTGTTGATTCACCAAAGCAATTAATGACTTTGTAGCTGAGTCTCCTGCAAACCTGGTGAGGCAAAAACACCCAACTCTAGCCTTGAGCTCTGAAGAAAAAAAATGCACTTGAGTATAAGTATCATAGATGTGCAATGCCGGAAAGGCCTTGGTGCTCATGAGCTGTGTCTGTTTACTAAGAAGAGGTTGGTATATAAAATGAGTGCCCAAATTTCCCTAATACAACACTTTTGCAAAAGCTGGAGACTTGATTTTCCAGCTGCAGAATTCAAACATGGACCACCTTGTTGCTTACAATGCATCAATAGTACCAGTTTTATGAAAGGGCAGGACTCTGTGGAATTGGGAAGAGTCTCCTGGGACCCCAAACTTTCCCCATTACTTTGATGAATGCTTGAAGTACCATCCACTCTATTTCACTGCCTTGGTTTAAGGCTCTGACCTACTACTGCCTTGGTTTAAGGCTCTGACTACTAAAATGTGAATACTGTATCTCTGGATGAGATGGTCACTTACACATCAGTTCAAATGATTTTATCAGTTCTTGTTAATGAGGAGGAAATGGAGAGAAATGGGCTGAAGTTCAAGGCTACAGAAATGGGGTTGCACAGAATGGAGAGAGGAGCCACTGGGGTGAGGGGAGTATCTAGGGACAGACTTCTCTGATTTCACACATTTACCAAGGTTCAGTAGAAACAGTAATTACACAGAACGAACTCAGGTGATCTGTCTAAACTACACAATACTGCTTGTAAAGCTGTACCCAGGATTTAAAAGACCTAGTTTCAGACACATGTAGACTCAGTGACAATATTAAAACAGCCAACATTTTTATTTATTATTGTATATGAAACATGTGTATGCATTATCTAACTCAGTCCTCATGAACCTTATGAGTTGATGCCATCATTATCACCCTTTTTGCTAGGTGAGGGAACTGAGCATCAGAGAAAAAAAGTGGTTTGCCCAAATTCACACAGCTGGTGAATGACAGAGCCAAGACTTGAAACCAGGTCTATCTAGAGCCCATATTCTCACCACTAAGCCTCCACTGTCTCAGATCAGTGATGTGCTTTTCATGCAAGTTTATACGTAAAGTTCAGCAGCCTTTGGTCTTGGCATCTTCCTGAGCCAAACCATAGTTTGGCTAATACATTTTTGACAGGTCCCCATTTTGGCTTTTATGGTGAGCCATCAGCTTCAGGCAGTCAGGAACATTTTCAATGGACCATGCCCTGGCTGTGCCCAAGGAGGTGATATTCTGAGTATGTGACTGACATTCTGCCAGAAAGGAAAGAAAAGAGTTCTCTGAAAACCAATCTGGTTCAAGAAAAGAACACTGGCAAGGTCTCTGCAGGCAGCATTGACTGAGGGCTCACTTTGTAGATAGGAAAAGCCTTTCCTTTCCTCCCCACTGGAGGAGGGGGGCTTTGGGGCTCTTTTCATCTAGGATCAGCTGAAAATCGAACACCCTCATTCTTTCTTTCTGTCCTCATGCTAATGCTTAAGATCAATCAGATAGGACATGGAGACCAACAAGTTGACAAATTAATTGCATATTCCCAGTTACATACAATCAAGGGAGCCATGTAAAGTTAAAATAAATTATTAATGCAAATGTACTGAACATCTGCAATGTGCTGAGCACTGAGCTAGAATCCAGAAATGGCTAAGATGATGGTCTTTGCCTTAAACAGCTTGAAGTCCAGAGAGGGATACCACCATGCAGAAAACAAGGCCATACAGGTCATAAGAACCATACTTGAGGTACGCAGGAAGGACTGAAAATCCAAAGTGGGGAATGATTAGTTCATCCCGGGATGTGGGGGAGGACTTTACCAATACTTATGTGACTTTTGTCTTGAGTATTTAATGTCTGAGGCTAAGTGGAAGTTTGCTAGGAAGACAAAGGAAATAGGAAGTGGTGGAAGGCATTTCTGGAAGAGGGTGCAGCACGTACAAAGGCATGAAGATATGAAATTTTGCAGGTAATGAAGAAAAGATCTACATGCTAGAAAGATGTGAGTAAGTAGAAGAAGGTAAGGCTGGAAAGAAAGTGGGGGATATACCATGATAGGAACAGGGTTTTTTAGAGGAAACAATCGATGCAGAAGGATTAAGGCTGCTGGTGAGATGAAGCATAGAGGTGCCTATGTACAAAGATGGAGATGCATGGTGGATCATTACTGGGGCCAGAAGAATGCAGGAAGAAATCATAAGCATCTGAGTAAACTTGAAACCATGGGCTTGCATCAACTCTCCAGGGCAAAGGGCAGAGAGAGAAGCAAAGGCGGCCCAGGACAGAAACCTGGGAAACATCAGTACACAAGCAAAATAAATCACCAGCAGAAAACAAGTCACTGCACCTAAGAGTTATATCCCCAGCCTCCACTCACCCTTCTCCAGATTTTCTAGCAAGAAACTAAACAAATGATTAGGATTTTTCCCCCAACTCCCAGTACCTGTCTCCCCTTCTCATATTTGCTTTCCTCCTTCTCTTCCCTTCTATTCCTTCCCTCGCATCTCCCTCCAAGGGAGGTCTTGATGAGCAGAAAACCCTCCACCTGGACTTTGCCTCCCCCAGGAGCTGCCTTGGTTGGAGCAGGGGTCAGGCTGGCAGAAGGTCCACTGGAAGGGCTGACTTTCGGAAGCTCCACTGGAGCCCAGTAACTTGGATGGCTTCTCATTTGCTGTAACTGGTTTAAGTGTATTGATCAATGAGATGACCATCCAGGCCACTACTGGCCTCCAAATGGACTTAGGGCTGCAGGAAGCAAGAGTTCTCCACCCTCAGAAAGGGATGAGAAGCATCTGAACTAGAAGTTGTGAGCATTCAGCCACTGGGGCCACCAATGTTGAACAGCGCCTCCTGGCCTGGAAGCTGGACAACCTGGGCTGATACCTGGCAGACAAAGCCCTGAGACTGGGGCAAAGCTCTTCAGTATTTATGCCACCACCTCCTACCCCATCTTGGGAAACTAGAGAAAGCCAAGCCACCCCCAAGCTTTGGAATTCCTTAGGCAGACATCACCCTGAAGAAAAACAGAGTGCATCCCCACCCTGGACATACTGAGCCTCCACCCCTGTATTAGTCCAGATTTATTTGGCTCATGGTTTCTGCAGGCTGTATAAACACAGCACTAGCATCTGCTTCTGGTGAGGTCCCAGGAAGCTTTTATTCATGGTGGGTGGGAAGGGGAAGCAGATGTGTCACATAGCAAGAGAGGGAGCAAGAGAGAGAGGAAGGAGGTGCCAGACACATTACAACAACCAGCTCTCATGTGAACTAATAGAGCAGGGACTCACTCATTACCATGGGGAGGACACCAAGACATGCATGAGGGATATGCTTCCCTGACCCGAACACCTCCCACTAGGCCCACCTCCAACACTGGGGATTGCATTTTAACATGAGATTTGGAGGGGACAAATATTCAAACTATGTCAACCCCACACCTAACTTATGGAGGCCAAACACAGGAGAGGACAAGAGTGTCCTCTTAGGGAAGCCCCTCTATCTGACTGAGGAGGATACTCTACTTTCAGAAGCAGGGAAACCAAGGATCCTGGGATAGTGGCAAAAGGGAGAGGTCAGAGCTCCAATCTAGCTAAGCAGCCTCACATGCTTCTGGAGTGTCCCTCTCCACCAGCTACCTTCAGGTTCTCTATCAATAAAATGATGGTAATATCTACAGTGCAGGATTATGGAAAATCTATCAAGGAGCCCAACATATGGTGGCTCCTCAACTTACGGCTGATATGCTAAGCCGAGCATTTGTGATGTTGCTTTCATCCCTTGGACAGCCTCTTGCCCTTCAGAGCTCCTCTTCCTGCTAGCAGCTTCCTGTGGGCCCATCTTCTTTCTTTACATGCTCACGAACTGAGGTGAAATAAACTCTAATAGCAACTGAATAAAAGCTCACATGCTCAGCTATGGGAATAAGGGATGGAAGGCAATGGCAGTATGAAAGTGAGAGTATCCCAAACCCAAGGGGATCCTCAGGGAGAACGGGGTGCCACCCTCCTGAGTTTCTCACTGGAGCTCACTTTCACAAAGCCTTGCTTTCAGTGGTTAAATAAGTGAGGCTGGGACCACATGGATAGTGAAGGTCCTGGGACTTACTCTTCAGCATAAAATCGGTTCCCTAGAAATGTCCCATGGGTTTCTGACGGGGTCAAGCCCTTTCATCATCTTTACCCCTAGACTCTTCCTCTATTCCTTCACCAGAAATCTCCCTTTTCTGGGACTTACAGAATCAGCTATCTCAGCAAGGTGAACTTGACTCCCTGTGGGCTGTGGCCTGGCATTTTTATTGTTACATGCATGGGTGGGTGAGTGACTATATGTGTCTCTGTGTACAATCCGGCAGTTCTATCTTCCTCCTCAGACAGATTTCTTTGCACCTCCTGCCTGCACCACTCCTACCTTGAACAACAACAACCAACAATTATATTGTACTTCCCATGTTCCAGGCACGATTCTAAGCACTTGGTCTGTGTTACTTCATTTAATCTTCACAACCCTATAAAGTAGACAGTATTATTTATTGCCATTTGAGAGAGGAAGAAATCATGGCACAGAGGGATTAAGTACCTTCCACATGATCACACAGCTAATTAACAGCAGAGGCAGGTTCAAACACAGGCAGTCTCACCTCAAAGTCTGTGCTTTTTACTTGCAAGGTACATAGCACCCTAAATGTAGAAAGGCTGTAACCCTTAGAGGTACAGCCCACCCCCAAAATTCTTGCCCCAGCATGGGGCAGACTGCTAAAACAGGACAGCTATAAGCAGTGAGGGTGGGAGTGACCCTTAAGGACACCCTGAGGCATATGAGGCATAGTTTCAAAGAGAGACCCTGAACAGAGCAGCCCTGGGAAACAGCCACGCAGACACACCAGCCTGGCACGTCAGCAAAGAAGCAGCCGACTTTGAGCTGGGCTGCCTATTACCCTCACAGTCCACACGGTGACAAGCTTTGCAAATACCGGCCAGAGCCACGGGACTAAAGAAGAATCCTCATGTGTGCACAGCTTGGGAAGGACACACACACAGAGAAAGAATAGTCATCCATAGGAGCACCATCTTTAAATAGAAAAGATAGCCTGAAATACACCCTGAGCTCGCGGGTGCTCACACACACAGACACACACGGCCAGGGCCAGAGGAGTGACTGAACAAATGCCTCAGCTGTGCTGGTGGCAACGGGAGGAAATCTAGTGCCCTGGCAGCTCCTGACTTTCAGTTCCTATTTAAAATGTCTGAATTGGGAGCATCGACAAGCTCCCAAATTAGCTTTTTAAATAGAAGCTGAGAGTTAAAGGAAAAGCGGCCGTGTCATGGGGGAAAAGCAAGTGAAAATCCCGGCCAGGCCAAGACCAGAGGCAGAGGGGGAAGGTGAGGACAGGCAGTGCTGGAAAGATGCAATAGATGACTGGGGACTGGTAGGAGGGACAGCATCTCCTGGGCAGTAGGGCTACTCCAGCTGCCTGAGCCAAGGGGCCTCCTTTCTCCCCATTGCTTGCTCTCATTTTGCAGATCACCTGGTTGTAGGAAGGGCTGGTAAACAAAACTCACACTGGCCTAGACTAGAAATCCCAGTCTTTCCTATTTTCCCTAGATGGTTAAGACAGAAAGGAGAAAATAGTCTACAGCTACCACACTTAAGCAATGAGTTACGAGCTTATGAGGAAAGAGGAGGCAGGTGTCTGGACCAGTGTCTGGTCTTCAAACGGAGCTTACGAGTCTCAGGAGGCCACAACTGTCCCGTTAGTTGACTTTCTGAGGAGAAAAGATGTCCCCAACTGTCTCCTGAGGCCTCCAAACAGTGAGAAAGACTCAACCCCTGAGCTGCCCCCAAGATGCTAAACAACAGAGAGAATGTACAGGAGTTGAAACCTGGGCAGAAAAAAAATATGGGTTTCACTTTCCCGACCTGAACATGGGACGGAGGACTGAAGGAAAGTGCCCCCGCCTCCTGAGTAGTGACCACTCAGGACCCGAGGCACTGTCTCCCCGGGGTCAGAGGAACTGAGGTGTGCAGTTGCCAGAAAATTAGCCCTTCCCCAGAGGGAAGGGAGGAGGGAGGTGGGAGCAGCGCCAGGGCCTTCCCTGAATTCTTCCCCTGTCTGCCAGGGAGTGGCAGTGTTGTTAATCATTATTACTGTATGCAAATCCCACACAGCTCCGGGACTCCTGGCAAACGCTAATGGAGCCCACGCCCACCTCCTGAAGGGCCAATTGTGTACCTTTTAAACTGACAGACTGAAGGGGGCTCCGGAAAAAGTGAGAGTGAGTGAATGAGGGACTCCAAGGGGCCAGGGGCCCACAAGGGCCCAGACCACAATTACCGACTCCCACTCCTTCATCTGGAAGAGGGCTAGGGGTTCTCACAAGCCAGAAGCCCCGTTCCGGATTCAGGGAGGTCGTTTTCCAGCCCTGGGTCTACAGTTGTCCTAGGGTCTAGAACACCCTCGCAGTCTAGAACACCCCCGCGGTCACAACGCACTTTGCGTTCCTCTGCCTCGGCACCCACCTCTCCACACCCAGAAATGTGATCTCTCAAGCCAAGCGTTCCGCGTCCCTGCTGGGGCACCGAGCTGCCTCGCTTCCGGAGCGCCAGGCCGAGATCGGGGGTTCCGGGCACCGAGGCTGGAGACACCGGGAAAGCCGGCGCCGCGGGTCCGCCCAGCGTCGGGGACTGCGCCCTTTGCGCGCCGCCGCCCTGAGGGTGGGAATCTGGGCCGGACACCTGGCCCTGTGGGCACATGCTGACCTTCCCACTGCCCATCCTGGGTCGACGAGGCACGGGGCAGTGGGGACCCATGGGCTTCAGGGAGGGACTGAGGAGCTGGGCGGGCTCCCGTTGGAAGGGGACCGGCTCGGGTGAGAGTTCACGCTCTCAAGTCCAGACTCTCGGTCTGGGTAGTGGGTAGACGTGGCGGAACAGGAGGGCGAATCTCGACCTTCCGATGGTGTCTTCGTCCTCCGAGAGGAGAGCGGCTCATACGTGGGGTTAGAGGTAGTGTGTCCCCTGGGTACCTCTTCAGCTTCTGCACTCGGAGCTGAGAGCCGGGGGCCAGCCGCGAAGCTTGCGCGGTAGGGGGCCCCACCTTGCCAGGTGGCCGGGCTTGGTCTCAAGCAGGTGCTGCTGCCCTGTGGACAGTCAGCGAGAAATAGACACACAGCTAGGTGCACACACACCCCACGCGCGCACACGCCGGCGCTCCCTGCCACCTCTCCGTGGGTACCCAGCCACACACGCCCCCGAACTTACGCTCACGCCGTACTCGCCGCTCCTCCCCACCCCCAAACCCAGCTCACCTTGCCACACTCACCCCGTGCCCACCCTCGCTGGCACACGCGCTCACACCCGCGTCGGTACACTCCGCCACCTCCAGGCACACCCTAGGATTCCTCCACTCGCCCGGGAAGACGCACCAGGCTCTGCCTCGTTTCCCCACCCCCCGCTCACGCGCGCGCCCCTCTCCACACACACAGACACACACACACGCACTCACACTCTTACACACCCTCGCGCGCGGAGTCACTCCCCCTCGCACGCCCTCGCCCTGGGCACCCTCCCGCGGCGAGACTCCGGGTCCTCCTCCTCTCTTCCTCCGCTGCCTGGCGGCTCGGCTCTCTCCGGCCCGGCGCTCTCCGGCCCGGCCTGGGGCCGCTGGGCCCGCGGGGATCGGAAGAGAGCCGAGGGCGCAGCCTTGCCGCCTCCCCCGGACTCTCCTCTCCTCCCCGCCCCGCCTGCGCCGCGCCCCCACCACCTCCCCCCTCGGGAAAGGGACCTCGAGAGAGGCAGCCCGTGGCCGGCCGGGCTCCGCTCGGCGCGGCGCCGGCAGCGGCGGGGGCAGGGAGCGAGCGAGGGAGCCCGCGAGCCCGCGAGCGGAGCGGCGAGGCGGGGAGGGGACGCGCTGCCGAGCCGGGGCTGGAGCGGCGGAGGCTGCGGCAGCGGCGGCGGCGGCAGTGGCGGCGGCAGTGGCGGCGGCAGTGGCGGCGGCAGTGGCGGCGGGGGAGGGAGGGCCCCACGGACGGACGGACGCACGAACCGACCGAGCGAGGGAGGCAGCGAGCGAGACTTCGCTGGCGAGGAGGAGCCGCGCGAGCGGCGGCTGCTGGGCGCTTCCCCGCGCTGCTGGGCGCTCGGCGCCTCCGCGGCCCCCGGCTCCCGGCTGCAGCTTCCTCGCGCGCGCGGGGCGCCGGGCGCGGGGCCCGGGCTGGCTTCGCGGAAGGTAAGAGGGACGCGACCGAGCCTTCTGGAGCCAGGAAGTGCGAGGAGCGCTGCTCCCACGCCTGTTGCTCCGGCTGCCCACGCGGCACCCTCCCACTCCCGCGCCCGGGTGGGTGGGCGCTGGGGCGCCGGAAGGATTGGGGGTGGGGCCCGTGCCGTGGGGGAGCAGGCAGCCGGCCCGGGGGCGTCGGTTCCCTTGGGCTATGGAGCCACCTCCGGGCAGCCAGGCGCTGGGGTTCGGGGGTGGGGTGTGAACCTCTGCCCTCTTTCCATTGGCCTGTCTTTCCTCGGCGGGTGCCAGAGACAGGTGGCGAAGGCTTGCTCCGTCCCTGCTCTTGGTGAGGGGAGAAGGAGAGAAATGGCTGAAAGTGGAAACCGGGAGCGGTTTGGGGCGCTTCGCAAAGTTCTCCAGCCCGGCGAGCCGGCGGTGTGTCTACCAGAGGCTGGGGGCCAGTCCGTCTGGTCCTGCCCGACGCCTCTTCCACCTCGCGAGCTCTGGGAAAGGTCTCTACGTGACGCCAAGGGCCGTCGAGGCCCCGGGGAGGGGGATCGAAAGACTCACTTTGCGAGGTGTTTACATTGGAGGTGGGGGACGGGAAGGGACTGGGCAAAGTTACCTGGACTCAACTAAATTCCTGCGCTTGCTTAGTGTCGACATTTGAATACGATCCAAGATGTTCTGCTTTTATCCCGGGCAGCCCTGATATGTCAGCAACAGGCTGAGGTTCCAGACCTGAAATCGCACAGCAAGAAAAAGGGTCCGTGTATTTCTTAAGAGAGAGCGTCTGAACTTTCTCGGGGTCCTAGGCACAATGCGATGTTTGTAAGACGAGGCATGCGTTGCTGTATTTTGCATGAATATACGTGATGGTTAAATGTATGGCTTGTTTACCTTACTTCGAGGGAGCCTGTATGTTTACTGTCTGTAGAAAGGGCTCCTGGGTGTGCACGAATTCAATACAAAGCATGTGTACATTTCCCCATGTGGACCTGTTGGCACACAGGAAGGGAATTGATGTGTTTATTTTTTCCTTGTCTCTACTTGAATACAACAAAATGCAAGTATACAAGGGACCCCCCCCCCCCCCCCCCCAGGTTAGAAGTTTGTTCCCTTTTGCTCTTAAGGAGGCTGGAGAAAAAGAGTTCAGGAAAGTGCCCTGGCTAGCCTAGGAGTGGCACTGTTGGAGAAGAGGATCTGTGCGTGTGTCCCAAGCCTGTCCCCCAAGGATCCCCAGCTTGGTTCACCTTGTCAGTTTCATGTTTTGCCTACCAAAATCCTGTGAACACAGGAGAAGCCCTCTGGGTCATGGGCACCTTCCGCTGCCCCCAGACCAGCCCCATTCTGAGCTAAGGGATGTGATATGAGATTGTGGAAAGTAACTTTCCAGATGCTCTCCACTGAGGTCATTGAAGGACAGACCTTGGTTACATGACTTTTTTTGCTGCCTTATGCCTGTACTCAGCTAGGTGTCAAACCCCAGGACAGGCTGTCTGGTCACTCCGCCCACTTTTGGCCTTTTACCTCCAAAACAGAAGCTGTTTAATGGAGTAATTGACTTTTTACAGCAGGGGAAAATGTTTTCCTTTGCCAGGATTTGTCACCTTTTTCATTTCAGAGCTTACCTGTTTTGAATGTCTCTTTTCCAGCCTGCCCCCACCCCCTATCTTTCCCACTGTCAAACTCTTCTGCCAAAAACAAAAATAGCTTCAGATTTTTCATTTGTAAGGCGTCCACGTCCTAGTAAAACCTTGGCATTTGAGGCATGTGCAGTGCCATTGGCTGGAAATGGGGCCGCACTGTTGTGCCTGTTGCAGGAATTTATACCCAGGCCAGCTCCGGAAGGTGTTGGTTCCTGTCAGAGTGCGAACCCTGCTATATAAGCCATGGAGAAGGCCTACTTGAGTGGGTCATTCCTGCAGGGTTGTAGGGTGGATATGGCCAGTGTGGCCTTGGGTATGTTGTCTGGTGGGACACTTGTCCTCCCCTTTCACCCTCCAACCCCCACACACAGAGAAAGTAACGATGGGGTAATTGCTCCTTTTTTGGTATGTTTTACCAGGGGGACAGCGGCTGAGCCTCTGGAGGCAGGCAGGTGCTTGCTTGGCCTTCTTTAGGAAGATTGCCCTGGATTCATGCATGGGGTAAACATTTGGCCTTGGGACCTGAAGCTTTTATGGTCTCAGGATAGGGAGGGGTTAATTTTTCCTTCTCCTGAGCTCTCAATTATTCATCTGAAAGCAGTTTGTAAAACACTACTGGCTTTTGGAGATTGGCTTAGGGTAGAGAGGAGAAGGTGATGAGACTCAGCTTGGCAGGGGCAGGTATTAAAGCTTGGGAATCCAGGTAGAGCAGGACTAGGAGAATGAAAGGGGAAGGGTATCACCCTCTCAGGGGGCAGAACTCTGTGTCTGGCCACACAGGGTTCCACAGGGTGCCTCTAATTCAGTGGTCTCTTACTTTTTGCCTCTTGAACCCCCTCAAGATTCTGCCTCTCTGAGCTTTATTCTGGGATGAAACAGGATGTTAAGGGTCAAAGGTCCAGGGCTGAGAGTCTGGGAACTTGGTCTCCTTTACTCTCTAGGAAGGTGGCCAAGGGTCTGTGGGTGGACCAGGCCTTGAATTGCCCCTGGGTACCAAGTGACACAGGTTATGTGCCCTGTGCGGAGCACCAACCTCAGCAGGAATTCCCAGAACTCCCTTTGCTACCTTGAGGCCCAGGCTAACTCCATCCTCACAGCAACAAGCCCAGATGCTCTACTCCCTTCTTTGCATGGGTGACTGTCATTAAGAAGTCTCAATGAGAACTAAGTTACAGACTTGATGTCCTGGATCCAATGGAATCAGGGATCATTTGAGCCAAACGGTCTTTTGTCACGTTTCTGTCTAATTCTCAATTTACAGAGGAGGACTCTGAGGCCCAGAGGGTGATCATGGCTTGCTTTCACAAATTGAGGGTGGGATTGAAACTGGAATTGTAAGGCCTCATGAGCCCTTGCTCATTGCTGCCTGGGGAAGATAGGGAAAGGAGTCTCTGCATCTTGCTGTCTTCTGTTGGGAATATCAGTATTGGGCAACACCTAGATCAGGAAAGCCAGTTGGCAGTGAAGTGATCAATGGTCTATTTGAAAATTGTCGGCTCCTATATATACACAGAACTTAGCCACTTTGAAGGAGACTTCTGAACTTCCTTCTCCTTACCTGTAAGCTTTGGGCAGAAAAGCCTATATCATAGGATTTTAGTGGGAATAAATTAAATGTTGTGTGTAAAAGTGTCTCAGACAGTGTCCAGAGCATTGTCAGTGCTCAATAAATGTAACCAACTCTGAATTGGAATCACCTGTGAACAGAGTTGAACTTGTGGGCTTGCTTCTCAAACATCCCTTGCCCATTAGAAATAAATCCTAGCTAAGTGCATGCTGAGGAACTACTAAGTCTCCTAATCCTAAACAAAGTATAGTTAGAAGGGTAAATTTCTTCTAGAAGGAAATACAATGCAGGATGTGTTCCCGACTCTTTTATCAGTAGCATGTGAATTACCCACTGCCATGCATGAACGACCTCCATTCTTTCCTCAGTTCCACGGTTCCAGTAATCAGGAGCTCATCAGGCCTGTGCTGTTTTTCTGTTCTCTGAGCAGTGACACTTACGGGAAATGTCATTGTCATTCCTGTTATTTTCTGTAGCATCTGACTCAACCTCCCTTTATTAGAGAGAGAAGGGCCCTGTGACAATTCCCTTTAGCATGCAGATGGGGAAACTGAGGCAGAGATTGGCTTCTTTAGAAAACTTGACTGAGTCAGAGGCAGATACTTGAATTGGATTCTTTTGATTCAGATCTGTCTTCAGATTTTACTGTCTGTTTGGAGACAGAACGCTCACCCTTGGCAACCCCTGAAATATATTAGCAAGGCGTAGAGTAAAGTTAATGGGGAAAAAATGGCACCTATAAAACCAGGGGTCCCAGCTCAAGCACCTACTGATGCAGTGCACTGTGCTGCCTTCTGGGTTGTGATATAAAAGTGGAGGCATCTCGGCCTTTGCCCAAAAGAGCTTAGTGTGGGATAGGGAAGGTTGGGGAGTGGTCTGGCTGTACTCTTGAACTCCACATTGAGTCTGCCTGGCTTTAATGGCTCCGCCTACTTATTACATCCTTTAGACAATTATTACAACTTCTTATGCTTCATCTTTCTTTTGTAGAAAAAATATGGCCTATAGTGGTGTCTACTCCTCAGGGTTGTTGGTGGGATCTCTTGAGATGCTCCATGTAAGCGTGTGGTACTGTGCCTGGCACACTGTCAGCCCTCAGCAGACTGCCTGAGGTGGAATCCCTATTCTGCCACTTTGGGGTTGTTAGACTGCTGTGTCTCAGTAAGCTTTAGCTTTCCTTATCTATGAAATGGGGGACACAACAGACTCTTCTTCCTAGGGTTGCTGTGAGGGTTAAATGAGATAATCTATGGGAGATAGTGTAATGCCTTGCATAGTGTAAGTGCTCAATTGTTAGTCATTATTAATAATATGTGTATAAAGTATGTGTAATCCTAGCTGTGGGATGATAGGTGCTAGGAAAGAGGGCAAACGACGAGTCAAGACCCTAGAGGAAGAAGAGAATCCCATAGTGGGAAGAGGAGGAGGCATCACAGAGAGGGTGATAAATAGGTAGGATTCTAATAGGAGGGGTCCAGGGGAAGGATATTCTCATGAGAAGGAAGAGTGGTCCAGAGGCAGACCTCCCCAGGGTCTATCCATGAACAGGTCTTGGTCTTATTGCTGGAGACTAGGATGGGTGCCTGGGCCATTGGGCTGGAGTATGAAGCTAGGATCTATTTGTGGGAATACTGGAATGCCAGGCCAAGGAGTTTGGACTTTATTTTGTAGGTCATGGGGTAACATACAATCAGAACCTTGCTTTAGGGAGATAACACTGAGAAGAATGGATTTCAGGGGAACAGGAGAAAACGGGTGGGTGTGAGAGTGAGCGACAAGAAGGTCCATGGGAAGGAGGCCCGAGGGACTTTGGGCCTTCATGAGGGCAGTAAGAGCTATTGCTTATTATTTGGCAACTCTTTAGAGAAAAATGGTCAAGGTGACAGCCCTGCGGTTAGGGACGTCATGAAGAAAAGGCGAACAGCAGCTTTTTACAAGGAGGCAGGTTCTGTTTAAACCTGTCCACTTCAGAGGCATCTGAGCAGAAGAGTCCAGTGGCAGCTCAGGAGTTTGAGGGAGGTAGAGACCTGAAAAACCTCGAAGAGTTGGGAGTCAGGAGAAGGTGAAGCAGGTTTATAGGGAGAGATGAAGATCGACTCCCTATACAAGTCTTTGTGTAACAGAAAAAAATTTCCAAGACTCACCTCTTCCTCATTTATTTAAACATAGAATCACAGCAGCCGAATTCTAGAGGGCCCAAATAATTCCGAGTTAGGATTTGTTCTGTGTGATCAGTTTAGGATTAGTGGAGATGAGTGTGTCAACCCCAAACAATTTCCAATTTCTGTTACGTGTGTTTCTGTGTCACCACATGCCTTCCCACAGATGGTATACATTTGGGGACTGCAGAGCGATTTCACTATCATCTTTTAAAAGCCAGATTTGGAAAGGTAAATCTGCTTCCCAAAGCCAAATATAATTCTCTGTGCTATTGCTCCCTCTGTCCACACAGGTATTGGGGAAGTGCTTATGCAGTGTGGTTTAGAGAGGTGAAGGGACAGGGTGGCCTGGCTCTGGAAAAATCTCTGAGGGTGGAGTAGGGGCCAGGTGAGAGAGGCTGCCATGGGAAGGAGTGTTGTTATATAACCTGAGGGAGCTATGGATGGTGGGCAGATGGAGACGGGAGGAGAGGAATCTAGGGACGGCAGTGAGCGTGGATCGGCTTCCTCTGGGGAGGGAAAGAGACGATGCATCGAAGTCAGGTGAACCAAGAAGCCAAGACGCCCTTCACAGAGCAGGGAAAGAGACCCCGCCTTGCCTCACAACCTTTCCCAGGTCTTTCCATCATGGCTCTGAGGGTCTGAGGGGAAAAATTTGATACTAGGTTGCTAGGGCAAGGAGTAGGGGCTGAGTGTCCCACAGAGTAGCACTTTGTCAGGGATAGCCTTCTCCATGGGAGTTGGGGACAGAACCTCACTAATCCTGGTAGTCACCTGCCATCTCAGAGAATATTCTGGACTTGGGCAGCCCCAGCCTCCTCCTCACCAGGGAGGAGTAGAAAGAATTGTTTACCTGATCTCCCTCATCTACACCCCATTCCTGATTACCCCAGTGGGTGAAAGAGTGAAATAAAAATTAGCATGTTTATCCCACTTTTAAATTCATTTAATAAGAACTCATTTACCCTCTCCCA